GTATCTAGGCCGTGGGTCGAACCAGCCCTCGGTCGAACGGTCACTTGTCGAAGGACGATAAATTTTGGAACAGAACTATGCTATCTGAAACCTAACCTCAGATGCGGTGAACGTAAAATTACGTAATTTAACGATGCCCGGAAGTCATATTCGATCCGCGGCCTGGTGGTGCACGGCAGGTGGTGGTCAAGGCTGGAAGAGGACAAAGCCGAGTGGTGCACGGCTGATTGGTGTTAGTCCGGAGAGATCCAAGACGTTCGATTCAGGGCTTATTGGTGCACAAAATTGGTGGTGCACGGCTGCGCTCCCACCCAATTGTTTGTAATTATTTGGGTTAGTTTTAAGTACAGGGTGATCGAGTGGCTGCAGTTCAGAGTACCAGAATTGTAGCAGTGAGTAGCGGGTTCGATCCCAGTTTCTAGGAATAGTTCTCGTCAAAACTGACGAGGTAGCCGGAGAGTGAAGCACAGCAATTTCGGAGCAGTGAGTTGCGTGTTCGGGACCCGCAAAGAGTTGTGAAAATTCTGCGATGTTCGGAATCGGCGACAGACTTGATGGCCTAATTTTAAACTCTGACTTCGCCATTTAATTATATTCTTGCCATTTCAAAATATAAATTTTAGGCATTTTAAAAGCATGAACATACTTTACAAAGAATAACGTTAAGTCGAAAAGTCATAATGCCATAATAGGCTGTGCTTTGGAAACCTTATATTCGAACCTTTAAATCCTGCAAAATGTTCAAATTGCATGCTTGATCAAAACTGTGAGAAAATTGTTAATATGAATTTCTCTCCCTCTCTTTCTCTCTTTCGCAAGAATAAATAAGATTGGTATAGTTAGGCCGATGTTGTTCTATAATGCACGTTTCATTGAAGACTACTGTAAAGGGTATTACTTATTATCAATTTCCTTATCACACTTCCTATTTAATTATCAATTTGGCGAAATAAATTTTTTGGAGGATTATAGTGTTCGAATTTAAGGTTTCTATAGATTACTAATTTTTTATTATTTCGACGTTTCGATTGAACATTATTCATTCTCAATTAAAATGATTGTTTTGCAACTCAAAAATTTCAACATCTTGAAATGAATTATGTAGGGTATTGTAGCGAGAAGCTCGTGTTTTTTATCAACTTTAATGCATTTTTAATTAAAATCCATTTATTATTGATAAATTTGTTGATTGCCACTTTAATTTAGATTTTGAGTAAGTTAGAATGTGGGTCTGCGTTGATAGAATTATTGGGCGGAGTGGTGCCCGAGTGCAGAAAAGCTTCCCCTAACAAAATTCGGGGACCGCCTAGGCTTCGGCCGACTAGTCACTATACTCGGCACAAAGTTATTCGTGGTCGGCTCGGCCACCCGGTCGAAATCAGTTTCTCGTCAAAATCTCTTTCCCAACTTAATAGTCGCCTGGGAGTATGACAAGGGTTGGCCGAGCCTAGTCATACCGAGCTACCAATTTGACTGGGGCGGTACATCTGTCAAATAATAACGCAGGTGTCTCAAGGCCAGCTCAACGAGAACAGATATCTCGTGCGGAGCATAAGGGCCTAAGCTGGCTTGATCCCGACTCTCAGTAAAAAAATATTGCTACCCAGTGGCTGCCCTTCGAACCCAGAGTCGAAGCGGGCATACAGAAGCTGATTTACGTGCTCCTCGAGTCCTACAGGCGGACTTAATGCAGGGTGACTCACGACTCTAAATTTTGTTAGGGTCATGACTGGAGACTTAGTCTCCTGTTCAGCAAGGAATACCAGTTATATCAGCGTGTGAATTGTTTATATTGTCGGAAGATGAGTGCAATAAAGTTATTTTAAGAGAAGACCATCAATAAATAACCAAAGGACCCTATACGATCATGTAGTCCGAACTGTATGTCAGTGATCCCAACAGTATAGTAAGGCAACGGCTCAAGGTAGTTGTGGTCAAAACGATGTAGTGTACTTATTTTTTAATTTTACAACATTCTTTATTGCAGGAAAATTTATAAATAACATTGGTTTTGGGTTGTAGTCCCGATTTTTTTACAAGGATCATTTTTCGTGACAAGGTACAAGATTTTTGTTCGATGTAGCATAAGTATGATTTTGTCATTCTCTGTAGTGCTCCTATTGTTATATAGCACAACTGACTGTATAGGACTCGTTTATTTGCCTTGTAACCGTTGTTCTTCTTATTTTGGTGAAAGATGGCCGTTATATTTAGGTTTTGTGCTGGTTCGTTGTGGGCTTGAATTTTTTCTGGATCGATAAATGAATATAATTTTAAATTTCATCGTCAATTATTTTATCCGCATACATATTGTTTACCAATATTTGTTAGCAAATTCGTAGTTTACCTTTTAAATATCTTTTGGATGTCCAGTTATATGATTTGTTATAATATACAATATCGTAATATTATAGCCTGAAGCTAGGAATAACTTTACATTAAGTGAAGAAGCGTGCACAGAAATATCTGTGTCGTGTACAGCGGACAATTAATATAACCAACAGGTAGGAGGATGAAGTAATTAGATTGAATTGGAATACAGTAATCATGGCAATCTCTCGTAAATGGCAAAACATCAATCATTTAAAAAACATCAATCATGGCAAAACAAACAAAATTTGGAGTTTAATTATCAAACAGTAAATGCAGTAAACGAATTCTCCGTAATTTTCAATTTAGTCTTTGCATTGATATCTGTTGATAATAACTATGTGCTCATCGTTCCTCCAATACCATCCAATACCTCCAATACCAGTATTTTCCATCTTCTGAACGCTTGCGCCTCCGAAAGTAATGATCATATGCATTTATGTATGCGTCGATAACGGAAGGATATTTTTATAAATGGAAAATACTAGTGGTTGAGTCACCCAGTTTTGCCCGCCGTACCTTTAGTACTCTTTCATAGACCCCAACAAAAGGCTTGTTGAATAAGACGCTTTGGTTATCTCTGCACTCTGGGATCAACAACTCCACACTCTCCTGTTACTACAACAAAGATTATAAACATGCAAAATTTACAATTGAATTAACACAAGTCAAAGTATGACTTCGAATTTATCTCAAATGAGACAATCTGACTATAGAGAATATAAAAATAAGGTACTCA